GCCTGCGCGATCCTCCAGGAGCAGCTGGAGCATCGCACAGACGCTAGTACGCACGCGTGCACCGCGCACGTGCATGAGGACGCCGCCGGCCCCGTTCCAACCAAACCGGTTGGAACGGGGCAAGAAACCCACCCCTGCCTAAAATATATGTTCTCCACACAGGTACAAAAACTATATAAAGAGAATTCAAGTGAACAAATGAATCAAAATATTATTTCAATGAATAAATACATTAAAAAATAAAATTTCTATTATAAATAGAAATAATAATATTTCTTCTGAAGTGACTTGTTCATTTATTTCTCGTGGAAAATGAAAAATTGCTCACACTCACTGCAAGTCAACAAAGTTGAGAGGTATAATTTTTAAAAGGTAGAAGAAAAATCTTTACTAACATCTCTGAACTCTGAGGAAGGGGTGAGAAAAATCTCACCCCTCGGAGTGGAAATGGGGGGTGGGGAGAATCCAGTCTGGTTCCAAGCCAGAAGAAAGATGTTGGAAATAAAATGAAGGCAGGCTGCAGGAAAAAAGGTCTCCATTTATTTGGCAGTCAGAAACTAGTGACAGCAGCATGTTTCTGGAGTGGCTGACAAAATGGGGTTGAGAGTATGTGTGCTTTTATACATTCTTTGCAGCTTTGTGATTGAGATGCCTGTTCCTGTGCAAGAATATGTTCTTCAATATTTTAATGGCTGTTGCCAGAATCCTAGGGGTCATGGCTGGCTCTAGAGGCAAAAGGGCAAATGCAAATTGTAGATGTTTGTATGAGCTAATCTTGTCAGCTTTGGTTTGCCTATTGTGATGTTTATTTGGCCTTTGCCCAGTCTTTCTGAATGGGTACAAAATCTCCATTCCTAAACACCAAGCTTTTGCTTGAGGCAGTTTTCCTATAGCAGGAAGCCTGGGACTTCTTTCTACCTTTGTTAAGATTTTTCTTCATTTCTCCTTTAGAGGAAATATTTTATCTTGCCTCTTTTTAATATTAAGAATAAAAAATATTTTAATCTGAGGAGCGGGGGCTTCCTAAGGGGAAGCAGTTACTTCCTAAGTAACTGTTCAGAAAAAAGCAGCCCGTATGTTTTTAAACTCAGCGGGATAATTTTTCATTGCTTGGATATTAAAAGTTTTCACTTGCTGATATTTCCAGGTGATTCTTCTAAATACACAGAAATAAAGGTTGCTGAAGCAGCAAATGACACTCTATTGGCAACAAATCACAGTTCCAAAAGTATCTGTTTAGTTTCTTCGAGATATAAACTTCGGGTGAAGAGATGATCACAAAGTTGACATTGTTGTGAAGATTGTGAAGGTTCAAGGTTGTGAAGTTGCTTTTGCAACATTGGTGCAATGGCTGCCGTTCCAATGCTTCTAGAATGGAGAAAATTATGACGTAACATTTTATAAAGAAAAATAATATTTATTCTTCAAATTGTTTGATGATTATGGTCTGATATCTAATGTTTTACAAATAGCACTTTATGAAATGCTAATACTTAGAGGAACCATATATTTTAAAGATGGGAACACTACAGTATATTAAAAATCTCCTCCCCCCTCGTTTTTCATTTTTTTAGATTTTCTCTTTAAAGTATATAATTTAAATTCTTGTATTCAACTTCCAAAACTTCAAGCAGTTAATTATTCAGTCCTTCAGCTTTATACAGTTCTTTTCAAACACACACACATATGCATCCACATCAGTGGTGGGTTTCAAAAAATTTTAGAACCCCTTCTGTAGGTGTGGCCTGCTTTGTGGGAGTGTCTTGCCAGCCATGTGACCGGGTGGGTGTGGCCAACTTGTAAAATGTGGTGAAACTCACTTAACAAAGCTCTTGCTTAGCAACCAAAATGTTGGCTCAAAAACGCTGGTATTTGAAGCACGCAAGATCCTTGCACCCCTAACCCTTTAGAAAAAAACCCCCAGGGGTGTTCAAACTTGACAGCTTTAAGACTTGTTGACTTCAACTCCCAGAATTCCTCCTCCAGTCAGGTTGCTCAAGAACTCTTGCATTGAAGTGTGCAAGTCTTAAAGCTGTCAAGTTACAAGACCCTTGCACCCCTAACTCTTTAGAAAAAAAACCCAGGGGTGTTCAAACTTGACCGCTTTAAGACTTGTGGACTTCAACTCCCAGAATTCCTCCTCCAGTCATATATGGTCAGGAACTCTGGCATTGAAGTGTGCAAGTCTTAAAGCTGTCAAGTTACAAGACACTTGCACCCCTAACCCTTTAGAAAAAAAACCCAGGGGTGTTCAAACTTGACAGCTTTAAGACTTGTGGATGTACATTCCCAGAATTCCTCCTCCAGTCATATATGGTCAGGAACTCTGGCATTGAAGTGTGCAAGTCTTAAAGCTGTCAAGTTACAAGACACTTGCACCCCTAACCCTTTAGAAAAAAACGCCAGGGATGTTCAAACTTGACAGCTTTAAGACTTGC